GCAGGCCGCCGTGCGGGGGCGGGTGCCACGCAGACGGACAGGGAGACACGCAGCGAAGGGGGAAAGGCATGCCGTACAGACAGACGGCATGCTGCAGCGAGGGGGCACGCGGGAGTGCCCGAGCAGCGGCACGCACCCACATGCCGTGTGACACGGAGAGGTGGCCCCAACGGAAAGGGTGCCCAGCGCACGGGGTGCGGGGCGGGCGCGCAGAGCCGCAGGCAGGCAGGATGGTGACACTGGGGGACGGTGCCCTGCGTGCGCTTGTGGCGGGGGGAGAGGGGAGCCCCGCACGCAGGGCTGGGCAAACACCGTCTCCGTCCCTGCCAGGCCGCACGCGTGCTCGTGGGGAGCAAGGAAAGCAGTGGCTCTAGGCAGGGTGTACGCGCAGAAACGCCACCAGAGAGGAGGGTGCCCAGGCCGTGAAGCGTATGGCTGACGCAAAGGCTGTGCCCACCGGAGCACAAAGCATAGCGCCGGAGAGGGGATTTCTTGGTACAGGCTGATGCACATCGCTGCCCGTTACCACAGACCGTGACACCAAGGAGACGACTGCCCGTGGTACAGTGCGCCAGCAGCACAGGGCAGTGACCCTACACAGTGAAAAATTGAGAGGCAGGTGGTGTGCCCAGCAGCCAGGAACACAACAGTCTTGCCCAACGCACAGCATATACTGCTGCCCATAATGTATATCGACACACCGTATCAGTCATTTCATTCATCCAGACTTTACAAAAAATACCATTGTGGGTTAAGTCACATCTCCTGAAAAGAAAGGATGTAAGCTGAAGATCGCTGTAAAAAGCTAAGCAGACCCTTGTCCAGTCAGCTGGGTACAAAGCTATGTGGTTACGTACCCTCAAATCACTTCTGTGGCCATCCTGCATTAGCCAAGTGCCTCAATTTTGTTACAACATGTATCTTCACACCATACCAGAGATGTAGTTATTCTTGTTGTTATTTTATAACTGGAGACCTGACATATAGAAGAGCTCAGAGAGTCTATGACAAAATATGAACTGAGCTTAGCTCCTGCGCTTTAACCCTGTGGAACGTTTTACAGTCCTGTGTACTGGAGATTTTTTGAGTGTACTGAGTATCATGTGCCCCCTGTGTCCTGCACCACAGAAGATACTCAAACCATCCAAATCCAGACACAGTTAGAGGTCTACATTCCCCATATAAATCAGCATAGAGAGGAGGGCTGCTAACTTAGATTCTCCCAGTTTTCTCTCTGGAAAATGCTACCATATGTGTTGTGGTTGGGTAGCTGAAATGTTGGGCAACCTGATCCTGAATTTTGGGTGGTTAAGCTTCTCATGTTGTAGCTAAATATTGAGGCACTGCAGTCTGGAAACTTGAATTTTAATTTAGTATTTCATTGGTGGAACATTTAATGTGCAACTCTTGCAGTACAAAGATTATGAACTCAATTAGTTTTTAAAACAAAATATTGCAGAGTAACTACTTTCCAAGTCAGAGCTATTACTTAAGGTGTTCATGTAAAATTCCCCAATCCTTGTTTACTATGGAAAGAAACTCCATGACCACAATCTGAAAATCCTCATTCTTAGGCTCAACTCCACTGCTTCTGATGACCACGGTTTTCAGAAGACATTGGAATGAACAAGGCACGCTCCTTCAGGAAGCTCAGACCCTGCTCGCTGGAGATAGGGATGAGACCCATGCATTTCTGCTCATAATTAGTTACAGTGACAGCCCAGACCAGTGGAACAAAATGCTTTAATGAAATAACAGTGTCATCACATCAGCCACTGCAACACATTACCTATATATGTTCTACATTATAGGTAATGAATATAATTTTTTCTGCCTTCCACAGAATTTATTGGAAGAGAATTATGTCAGGAAAAGAAGCCACCTTACAGAGGTATAGAGAAGCCTCTCCATACCTTTCTATACAACAAAACTCAAGTGACAATGGTGCACTCATCAGGGAGTTTCTGAAATGGACGGGACAACAGGCTGTAAGTATATTATGTCCCCAGGAGAATTTCACAAAATCCCAAAACATTGTACACTGCTGCTAGAAGGATTACTGTGATGTGATCATCACAGGAAGGCAGGCCTCTTACAGGTTATAAACTAGCTAGTAGATGGGAAACAAAACACAGGAATAAATGGCCACATTTCGAATAGAGGAAAAACACTACTCTGAGTTGGGATCTATGTTACTCAGTATCTTCTTAAATCAGAATCCCTTCATTCACTCATAGTTAAAACCAGAATCAAGTGAAAAAATAGCAGAAGGATCTCACGCTAGTGACTAAATCACTGATAAAATGGCAGCTGAAATTTAATGTTGCTAAAAAACAAAGTAAAGCACATGGGGAGAAAATAGTTTTTACTATGCATGCATAATGATGATCTATAAATTAGCTATAGCCTCTCAGGAAAGAGATCTTAGAGTCATTTTAAATAGTCTTCTGAAAACCCCATCTCAGTGTTCAAGGGTAATCAAGCAAACAGCTGTGATGAGTTCATTAGGAAAACAGAAATAACAGCATGCTGCTATATAAATCTATAGTACAGCCAGTGTCTGTGTACTCTGCATTTATAATATTGCTTCAAAAAGGACAGAGTAAAAAGAGAAAAGGTATAAACCCCAGCTTTTCTATGAGGTGAGAGCTAACTGAACAGGGTTTTCAGTTGGAAAAGAGACAACCAGTGTCAGAAACAGTATTCAGGTTAATAGGAATGATTCTTCACTCTTTCTCGTGAAACAAGAGCTATGGAGCAGCTGGTTTAAAACAAGCACAAGAAAATACTTTTTCACATGATTTGTACTTGTAAAACTCATTGTTACGAGATGGTTTTGGATGCCAAACGTCTAGAAAGATTAAAAAAGCAATTGTTTTTGAAGAACCTCTAAACAAGGTTGACCAAAGTGGTTTGGATGTATTCAAAGTTCAGAAAGGCCCTAAACTTCTGCCTCCTCGAAAACTGTTTACTGTTTACTGAAAAAACTGCTTACTGAAAACTGTTTATTGACGAAATAATCCCTGCTCTGTTCTTGAGTCTTTCTCTAAGCACCTACTAGTGGAAGGAATAAAGTACTGGCCTAGATAGACCTTTGGTTTAACCAATAGTCCAGTATTCCATATACTAAGGATTCCTTCCCCTTGGTTAACCAAGGGTCCTTTTGAGTCAAACATTGGCACCCTATGCAGCTTTTAGATTGTATTTAAGCAAAAAAATGTGTAATTCTTCTTTTCCCTTCCCAGAATGTACATACTGTTGCAATCTAACAGAGCTGGACAACCTTTCATAGCAATCTTGATATCAGTGAGCCCCTATCCTCATTTATTTTAAGTTATTAATGTTCTTCAGAATGACTGAACCTGTATTTTTTTTTTAACTAGCTAATGGTCTGTCCCAGTAGAGCTAGACTTCAGGGTAATACACACTGACTTAGTCTGATACAATACTGCATGATGTATGCTTTGTTACAAGTATTCTTAATTAGCTATTTATTAACAGCAACCTGCCAAATGAAGGTTCTCACTGTTTCCAAGGTAACACAGCTGCTACGTTACAGTCCTCCTTTAGAACGTTACTTTCACTCTCTGACCAAACTGAAATTTTGCCTCTTTCATTAAGTACCCAAAACAATCAAAATAACTCATTATTTATCCCACTTTTTAGAAAGCAAAACATCTGGTAAGATACCAAATTCAATACTGTTTGCCCTTATCAGGAAACAGAGACGTTTCTCCATCCTTTGCTAAGCTACACAGTTTTAGCTTCTAGGACAAGGTCAGCTCATAATCCATTTGCCGATTTCTGTTTCCTGGTCATCTTGATTTGGGTTGCTATGCCTTTTTAATGCTCCCCTAGCAAACAGTTTTCTAGAATTACTTTCCAATTTCTTTTTCCACCTCCTCCTGCCACCAGATTTCCACACAAATTCTTACCATCATAATCATATGGAGGAATTTAACTATACGGTCTACAGAAGCTACTTCTGCCTGGTCTACATTCAAGCATTGAACCTATTCCATGGAAATGCTCCAAGGCTCGCTCCGTTTCACCATCCTCCTTCTTGCCGTACAGAGTCCTCCTGAGACACTGCTTCATTTCGCATGCTTTGGAGACTGAAGCCATCTGTCACTGAACTGCAGGCAATACTGAGGGCAAAAACATACCACTGTGCACCTCTGTCACCACTGTCTACAGACATCAGCACGAATGACTCGGACACAATCCCTAAAGTTCAGTTCATGCCACAGTCACACCTGCGCCAAGCCTGCTCTCACTAATGCTTCCCCAGTGGTCTACAGCAACTGCCAGAGGGTGAATGCAGCAGGTGGAACAGTGCACAGCAGCAGCATGTCCTCCGGTCCTTCCTGAGATCCACTTCCATACATTCTTGGACTTGAAGGTCTAAAAGAAGCAATGACTCCTCTAATCTAGCCTTTTTCATAACACAGTACAAGAATTGTAATACTATGTTCTATCTTATATAATGGTTTCACTTAGATTTGTGTGTCATCCATGAGTAAAACACTTCTGACCTGAGGATTTCAAGAACATAGAGAAGCTACCGTTAACTTTGCAGTTTGCCAACTGCATTAGCTTTGCTGAATCAGGATGCATCTTATCCTCCCTCCCTCGTGCCTGTAAGCCTGCAACGTATGCTAAATATGCTTCTTTGCCACACTTCATCCTGTTGTCAGCAGCTTCTCATCCAGGTTTCTCATCCACCAGCATAACCATCCGCCTAAACCTCACTTAACTTAAAGCTGGTGACAGGGAAACAGTCAAGAGAGACACAGCATATGGCAAAAGTACCCAGACTACCTTGGCTGCCAGCAACAATCGAGCCCAGGAAGCAGAGCCTTGCGTGCAGGGTGATTTACTCTACCACGAGGCATTGCAAATTCATTTGGACTGAGGTTTGTGCTGCCACAGCTAGGCTCTCATAGCTTGTTTATTCATCTACAGTGCACTGCTCTGTAATTTGCAGGTTAGACCAGTCTAAACAAAACTTGATCAAAATGTCTGAGCCTTGGAATACAAACTTTGAGATGGTTATCTGGAGAGAATATTAGTTTATATTATGCATATTATATATATTTGCATTGGATTTCATTAAATGTGCCTGAGGAAGTGATGTGTACGACAACCATGACGAAAGGTATTTTCTGCATAGCTAGAATCAACCCTTTGAACTGCAACTGGAAACAAACAGGAAGCCAGTCCATAACGAAACTAAGTAAGCATAAGAAACTAAGTGAGCATAAACATTACTGACACTATATATTGTGTATTTTAGCTAGTGGGAACAGCCTTATTCTGTGCCAGCTAGTGTTTGAACAGTTGTTATAGGTAGTCGCAAATACAGTTCTTTAAAATAGATTCATTCATACACTGAGGCCAGAAGAAAACACAGATTATCCAGCATAACCTGCTGGATAACAGAAGCCGTTTTTGGTTTGATGTGGAATTACAGATAAATGACAATAAACCAAATCTTAACAGTGTGCAGGCAT